CGCACATCCCACAGGTGCTAACATATTTCAAACCTTATTTAATAGGGCTGTGTATTGGCAGGAATTTGTTGTCACACATATATCATGACATAGGAGTCACAATATGATACAGTATATCACAATATATTGCAATAMTGTAAGCAAGGCAATATACTGTACTGCCCCCCAAAAAATATTCTAATAAAAAAAAMTTAGTATAAAAAGCACACCATGCATTTTGCATAAAATCGGAGCTAACCCTTAATAAAAGATGGGTACAGTATTAGGAAATTATATATTGTGATTAATCATTGTATATTTTCTTACACCTCTATAATTTAAAAGAAATGTCATATCCTGTTTTCTCTTTTGGGTGTTTTTGAGCAAATTCAGAGTAAATACAATATGTGGACACCAAAAAAGAGCCCAAACATCCGATTGGAAACCTGAAAGCGTACTCCAGCTCTGAAATTAAAAAGCAGCATGTTGGAACCGTGATTTGATCGTTCAGTTTATGAAATAAAATGTTTGATGATCTGTTTGTTTCGTTTGATTGACAGCTGCTAGAGATGGTGAAAAGGGAAGGCTTGTCTCTCACTGCTGTCCTCACAATGCACCATCACTGGTAGGATCGATGTCTGACAACAACTGAAGTCTGTCCATAAAAACTTGGATGTGTCCCTCTTTTGTTTAGCTGCCGTCCGTTTCAGGGACCACACTCGCGGGAACCAGGCTCTGCAGAAGGAGCTTCCTGACTTGAAGGTGTACGGTGGGGACGATCGAATCGAGGGGCTGACAGATAAAGTCACCGACGATCAGGAGCTGAAAGTAACCGAGCGTTGACGTAATAATGTCACATATCAGTTATGATGAAAGTTGTTCACTCAGTTTGRCTCCATCAATGTGAGGTGCCTGTCCACACCCTGCCACACCTCTGGTGTCGTGTGCTTCTATGTTTGGGAGGATGAGTGCACCGATGATCCCGCCGTCTTCACAGGTGAGTAAATTTAGACGAATCGATGGAGTTTCAGCGCCTGAAGTGGCTCGCTTCCTGTAGCGTTGACCAAAAAAGTAAACACTGAGTGGTGTCAGGTATGAAATCCTAACCCAGCACGCTGTCAGGTGTGGCAGCCCCCTTATTCTTTATTTTGCTTTCCAGGGTACACCATGTTCGTAGGTGGATGCGGGCGGTTTTTCCGAGGGCTCTGCCAATCAGATGGACCACAACCTCACCCAGGTGCTGGGTACCCTGCCTCCAGAGACGGTGAGTTCTCGTAAAACCGAGTCACAACAATCAGACCTGCAGTAACGACGGAGGAACAAGTTCATAACTCAGAACATCTTAAAGCCAGAGAGCTGAAGCTGTGRTGACGAGTCAGATATTTGAACCTCTTCATCTGCAGAAGGTGKTCTGTGGACACGAGTGCACCATCAAGAACATGAAGTTTGCCATGCTGGTGGAGCCGGAGAATAAGAAAGCTAAAGAGATGCTCTGAGCTGGGCCAGGGTGAGAACCACACAGCCGCTGCACCCCCCCTCCCCAACCAAACCTTTTTTTTCTTTTTTTAATTTCAGTGATTATTTAGAGGTTGTTGTTCTTTATATATATATATATATATATATATATATATATGTGTATATATATATATATATATATGTATGTATGTATGTATGTATGTATATATATATATATATATATATATATATATATATATATATATATATGTATGTATATATGTGTGTGTGTGTGTAGTTTACAGTATTTCTGTTTCTCCTCTTATTGACCCTTCTGTGTGATTTTTGTAAAGAAACATTTGGACACTTTGTTTTTACTTTAGCTCTTAAAAGCTTCAGATCTGATTGATTATGTGAACCTAAGGTATTTTCTATTTGAATGAATTTTATTTTAGGTATCTTGAAAGAAGTATTTAATATGAACTGTATCTCAGAGTCAGTCTGAATGTAAATTCCTGTTTCTCAACCCAAAGTTTAAATTAAACTGTAGAAAAGCCTCTAACTGCACAATAAACTCTGAATCTATAATCTGGAGATGCTTTTCTTCTGTTTTAGACAAATTAAATGATAAAACACTCAAATATAATTAAATAGGTTTATTCTTCTAAATGTGTTTATATGTACACACAATCCTTAAAAGATTTCATGTATCAGTTGTGATTTTCAGAGACACTCGCCAGACAAAAATGATTTACTGATTATAAAGACAAAAAGCAGTTGAACACGGTGTTTCAGTGCTGACACACGGATTTGGTTTTCCACTTGATCAGGCAAAYGGGAAAAAGCTGATCTGAAAGAACTCTACGTACGTCCGCACTTTGAGACAAATGTCCACATTTTAGGGCATCTCTGGGCTGAACAGAGACCCTGATCACCACTTCATGGTGAGCCCGTTTGTCATTTTCTCCACAGCATGGTACCGCGTGTGCAGCAGCTCTTTGGCTCGCTCCTGACCCGATCCGTTCAACCAGCTCTGATACAACTCGGCCACACGGACGTCGTCTTCTGGCAGCAGGCGGCCCTCTGCCTGGTAGAGCTCCTCGACTTTCAGGAGAAGCTCCTTCTGGTTCTGACCGGCTGAGGGCTTCACCTGCCCACCTCCATTCAGACAGCCTGTGGGATTTAAACAGACAAATTCTGACCGAGTCACAGAGACTTATTGTGCTGAGGTGAATAGAGGCTACAAGTTCAGTCCACATTCAGCTCTGCAAAGCTGCTTATTTTACTTTACCTGATGGACAGGCCATAACTTCCACAAAGTGGTAAGGCGACTTTCCCCTCTTGAGTTTCTGCACGAGGTTCTGGATGTTCCGAAAGCCGTACGCTAAGGCGAAACACAGGAGGACCTCACCGTCTTTCTCAAGTCTCACCTCCTGGAAGTCTTTGTTTCTGTGCCAACAAGTAGGGAGGGGAAAGAAATGTAGACAAATTCCATCATGCTAGATCCAGGAGGCCTGACTTTTCACCATGAAGGTTTGACACACCTGAGCGTYCTGTAGGTGAGCTCTTTCACCTCTTCTCCAAACAGCTGCTTGGCAGCAAAGGTAAACACGTGGTGGAGGTAACCCCCCGAACCACTCCCAGCATGGCTCTGCAACTCATCCCCACACACGCTGCTGAAYCTGAGAGGAACCACTTTTTATTATCGACTGATGAGTCTATAATAAAGGACAAATGCAAAGAACCTACAGTGTGTCCAAGGCCGCAGGCTCAACATCAGCAAGAGACACATGTTCCTCCTCCAGCATCTTCTGAACCTCTCCTGCAGCAGGAAGGAAAAGAAATAAGAGCAAAGATTTAGGCGCACAAAAAGCCTCACGAGAGCGTCCGTACCTGACGTGATGACACAATCCACCTCCCGGGTCGCAGCTTCGCTCAAATAGAAGTCGGAGCGCGAAGCTTCGAGTTTTTTGTCAAAGCAAGGCATCACTGTCACGTGGTAGATCTGCTGTGGATTCAGGCCCTAAAAAGGAGTTATTTATTGATAAAGCGCTATTTACACTATATAATGCAATTGTTCCACATTTGATTTATTGTATAGAAGTCTGGGGAAATGCATGTAAAACAATCACTAAATCTATTTTTATTTTACAAAAAAGAGCCATAAGAATTATTACAAGAAAGCATTACTATCACCCTTCWAATATATTGTTTCATCARTTAAAATTGTTAAAATTTCATGAGTTGGTTGATTATAACACTCTGCAGGTTATGTATAAGGCTCATAGAAATGTGTTGCTGTCAAACATCCAGTCACATTTTGTTAAGAGGGAAAGCTGCTATAATTTGAAGGGATTACAAATGTTTGTTAAACCAAAAATCAGGACAAAACTGAAGGACAGATGCACTTCAGTAAAAGATATAAAGACTGGGAATAATCTGGAAAATAACAACAAAATTGGATCAGTTAATGCCTTTAAGAAAACGATCAAAGAAAAATTGTTAAAGAAATATTAAATTGTTTAATTTGTATGAGGAGTTGAATTTTTTGTTTTATTATTTGTTTTATCATTGTTTGAAATTTTTTAAAAAAAGGAGCAGATATATAATTTTTTTCTTCTGCTGCCTTTTATTTTATTTGTGTTGTTTTGTTGTGTGAAATGTTTTGTTTTTTAATTAAATGAGTAAAAAAATACACACAACATACATCCTAGCTGCTCTTTAATGATAAATACATTTCTTTTTATATTCAGCCAAGATCCAAACCGCACCTGTTGTTCTGCAAAATGGCCCTTAACCAAMGAACCCATGATCTGCTGCGGGGAGCGAGTGGTGCTGATGTACGGAAGAATAAAATCCCCATGGGTCTTCTCAGCATAACAGATCCAACCTGAACACACACAGATTGAGTGGGATAAAAAATAAAACACGTTCAATCACTGGAGTATTTCACTTTGTGCTTGCAAGAGTTTCTCTTTTGGTTGGATACCTGGACAGGCAGATGTCAGCATGGGCAGGGCTTTGTTGTTCTGTTGCCTCTGTCTGTAACGCTCAAYAAACTCTCTCTGACTCTCCAGCAGACTGAAGGTCCGACTGAAGCTGGTGTCAAACACATGATGAACACCTGCGAAAGCATTTGCAGCAACAAGCTTCAAAGCAGAGTGTGTCTAACTAAAATGTGAGAMATTCATAAAAACACAAAGCACATACCCAGGCCTCTGAAGAAAGCGGTGAGCCTCCTGCCTGCCTCGCTGCTGCTCAGGTTATAATGTGCTGCCAGGGAGGCTYTGGACTGTGGCGATACTGACACAACTACAACCTTCTTTTCTTTCTCACTGACCTATACAGGAAMCCCAAACAATGCATATTAGAACATAACAACACACAATCATGGTTCAAATTACAAAGGCAGCAAATCAAAAAAAATCAGGAACGTGTTTCTACCGTGTTGTTACGCAGCACTTTTAAGAGCTCCTCGTGACTCTGCTGCGTAATGAGGACGCTTTCAGCTGAAGTGATGCAGCCGCTGCAAGCCAAGCAGTCATTCAGTGTGATCTTTGCTCTCTCCAGCTTCTGTTTCCCTCCATCCTTCAAATTCGGTTGTGGAATAATTGAGATCGATGCAAAAATACTCCAATCATTTACAAACAAATTCAGGTTTGAGCATTTAAACCCACCTGGTTGATTTGTACGTAGCTGCCATCATCTTCTATCTGTATTTTGGCCACAGATTTACCATGTTTCTTCTCTACTTTGACTGGTTTTACACATTCCTGAAACACAGACACCAAAAGTCTAAACCAAACAAAATGCTGATAAAGGACGAGACAAATGGTCAGCTCTGAAAGCATCTAAGAAATAGTTTGCCATGTTTCATAATAGGTAAGAATCGTTTTAAAAAACTAAATTTGTCTCCTGTTATTAAACTGTCATCAGGCTTTTGACCCAGAAAATGTGTCTTGTTTACTACTTAGACGTAATTACGTCATCGCTATCACAAGAAAGCTAAGAATGTCATGTTTTTAAAATGCGGTGCTTTGTAACTTATGACCAACCAACATGTAAACAGCGATTTAAAATCGAGATTCAGTCTACAAAAGTAAACTTTTCTTTCATTTATGAAAGGTTTTCCCATATATACGTCGCAAGAAGCTAACTGTGCTAGCTACTTCGACCAGGGTTTCATGTTGTGCTGTAAATGTTTCCTATACGACGGGTTAAATGTTAGCTAATACGGCTTCCTTTTGCCAAAATAAATCTTATATGAAATCATTTTATAGTAGCTTCAATGACTTACCTGAGAAGGAGTGATAAAATCATCAAGATCTGTTAGCTGCAGGACACCGCTGAAGTGAGAAGCCATATTTACTGCCGTCAAGCTGTTTGTTTACTTTTCTGTCGCAAATGATGGCAGGCCGTTGTACCATATAATCAAAATAAAAATTTGTAAAAAAATTTAAACACTGACATTAGTCTCGATTTTTTTTGTCAAAATGACATTACAACTATTTTTAAATTAAATAAATACATCTGAAATCACATTATTATAAGTAAAATTATATCAAAGGCCCTCTCACTGAATACTGTACTACGAAAAACAAAGTTTATGGCGTCTAAAAATCCACTTTTCAGGAACATTTTACAAATTAATGGCCAGAATGGAATTGCATTGTATAATCTATAAATCAAAAATTTCAAATCAAAAGGAACATTTTAAYTGTTTGGAGTTATTAACAATATTCAAATACCCTATTTGTCGTTTTCCCGTGTCTAAATATGTCACTTTTCTTATTCATACAACTGATTAGTCTTTGTTTTTTATATGCCAAAATGTTTTTTTAATATATTTCCAGTGTTAATTACTATTCTAATTACTACTGTAAAATACTGCTTTTACCTTTTTACAAATATAGGCTATTCTTTCATTTTCCATTAGTTCATATTAAGAGTGTCTATTTTAGTTATTGAAATTAAAACAAATAATCGGAAATTATCGGGTAACATGAAAGATTAGCATATTTTTAAAATTAAGAAATGGGAACGCACGTGCCAGCGCCCTCATGTTGTTATGACTACGGGGTCGTAAATCCGCCATGTTTTCCCTCCCTCCCCGCTGCAGCGTTGCGACAGAGACGGAGAATTCAAACGACATGAATGTAGAAAATAATCATACGGCAGAAACAGAGAAGAACGGCAGCGAAACCATCACCATTCAGACTGCACTGGGAGACGAAGGTTAGTCCCCTGACGAATCCAAACAAGCCCAAATTATTCATCTGTCATCGTGTTTGGGCCGAGCTAACTTCCTCCGTGCTGAAATGTTGCTAGCAGCTACCTAAAATTAGCTTGTTTGTTGCCTCTGCTGTGTTTTTAATCCAGGGTAGAAGAAGAAGTGCAGGCAGCTGGTGATGTTAAAAAAAGTTTACATCAAACAATTACCAGCTCGTGGCACAGACCGTGTAATAATAAAGTTAACAAGTCATTGATGGGGTTGTGTCTGTGTTTTTAGATGATGTGCACAAGTGTGGACGATGCCAGTCTGAGTTCTCCACCCTTGAGGCTTTCATCCAACACAAACTGCAAAACAACTGCAGACGTGTGGACGCACGAAATGTTGGACAGGAYGCCAACCAAAATGTATGTTAGCTGCAGTGGTTTATTTCAGGAAACGTTTTAAACAMTGAATTTATAGACACAGCACGACTATCTTCATTTTGTTCCCTCCCAGATCTCTGCAGCCAGTAAAAGTTCTTCCTCGGAGATAACAAGAGAAGGAGCTTCCCAGGATAAACCAGAGAGGACCACAGATGGTGGGTTCTTAGATTAATTGTTACTTTTTTCTTTTTCTAATAGGTAAATGCAGGAGCTTTGGATTGTCTTGTTTTTTTCCTGTTACATAAGATAATTTTATTAGGTACTAAAGAAAAAAAATCAACCTGAATCACAATCATAAAATGAACGAAACACAAGTAAAAGCCAAAAGTGACAAAATTCTTCATAAAACTTAGTTGGCACAACAGTAGCTAGAAGCTAAAAATAGCAAAGTGCTGTAACCTAAGGTACCATAAGGGAAGCTAAAAGCAGCAAAAGAATAGCTAGAGGAGGCAAAAGAATGTGAATGCTAGAAGTATGAAATTGCTATCAAGAAGTAACAAAAATATTTATGTAAAGCTAAGCGTAGGAAAACAGTAGCTAAATGTAGCATAAGGTTAGCTAAAAGCAACATAAGAGTAGCTAAGAGCAGCTAAGGCAGAGGTGGGCGATCCTGTTCCTCGCGGGCCGCAACCCTGCATGTTTTACTTGTTTCTCTGCTCTAACACACCTGCTTTGAATGAATAGATGATTATCAGGCTTCTGCAGTACGGAGGACCAAAATTGACAGAATTAGAAATAAAAGCAGATTTCTATGAACCACTTAAATACTTAAAATGCACAAATTAGAGAAATTTATCTACTGTTTTATATTTTAATTATTTTTCCAGGTCAGTTTCAATAAATTAGTC